AAAAAAAAAGTTAAAGCGTATGAAGATAAATAGAAGCTGTTTAGATCAGTAGACTATATATCTGCAAATACACACTTATCCCAGATGTGAGCTGCAGATTTCAAGACTACTGCTTTGTTTCCTAACCCACCGTAGCTGTTAGAGAATAGAAATACAACAGCAAAGTGCACTGTAAATTGCTGTCTTGTTGGCATTAAAAAATAGCCTACCAAAAATGCAATTAAGGAAGTTTCAGGAAACTTCTCTCTCTTAACTTTGAAAAGGCAAATCTGATGACTATGAATGGGCAGAGAACCCTTAGAAAAGAAAGTCTTATTTGTAAATGTGGAAACTTGCTGACAGTGTAACAGAAACTGATGACCTGATGGGCAGTTAACTGCAATTTGCAGGGCTAATGATGACAGAAATTTTAGTTGAGGGGGGGGATTTTTACATGAGCTTTCTGTTAATAATTTGCATATTAATTTAGTGGGAGGCTGAAAAGTTACTATGCCTGAATTTGTAGTATGTATAATATATTATCAAGAGCAAAGTAGATTTAAATTGTGTAGTTTTAAAAGCAGTCAACCACGTAAGAGACTTTGTTATGTTGGGAGAGGACCAGGACCGTTTGTCTCCCTCTTTTTCCTTCTCCTTCAGTGAAGTGCTCATATTTAAAATTAAGCATAATTTTCATCTAGTTGAAGCCTAATAGTTAAATATTTAACTGTGGTGTCCAATGCTTGCTCTCTAATTTTCTGTGAATAGAGTTTTCAAACAGGTGGCACTAGTGCTTACTAGAAATTTCCCCACATGGTGTTTGAACTGGAGTGCCTTTAAATAAAAGACTGTGCAATGTCATGCTGATGAGAAATAATGTGCATGTAAATGATAAGACACTTATAAGATAGATGGCTGCATGTTGTGTGTTGAGGACATTTTTTTCTTCTTGCCTTTGGGAATCCTAACTAGAGGAGCAGAGGGATTAATGTGGGACTTCAGGATAAAGACGTAAGAAAGTATTAAGAATAGTTTGGCTGGGTATATACATGTGCTCGACAAAATATCCAGCTCCCTCAGAATATATTAGCAGTCTCAAAGGCCCCAGCTGAGATGAAGGGCCTGTTGTGATGGATTGTATTTTGCGTCGTGTCCAATTAGTGCCTCAAAACATGTAAATCAAAAGGACTGGCAGACAGAGAGAGGAAGAGGTATAGTGTAGGGGCAAACAAAGCCAATTTTGAGGTAGCCCAGCTTTAATTTTCATACAGATCTCATTATTTCTTAATCATTGCTGGAGATAGAGGGCAAGGGAAGAAGGGAGAAGTTTGCGTTTCATACTTGAAAGCAGATACAAAACCCCGAATAGAATAGGTTATTTCAGTTGGAAGGGACCTACAACAATCATCTAGTCCAACTGCCTGACCACTTCAGGCCTGACCAAAAGTTAAATCAAATTGTGAAGGGCCTTTTAAACACTGACAGGCTTGGGGCATCAGCCACCTCTCTAGGAAGCCTGTTCCAG